CAGAGCTGCTGCCTTGTCTCCAGCTCTGCAAGAGGGGTCTGAGAGATGGAAATACTGAACCTGCAGCTAGAGATTTAAGCTGGAATGGAGAGACTGGGGTTCATTTTTCTGTGCAGCCACAGACTCTGGGCTGTGTGACTCTGGGCAAGTCACTCGGTGCTTCATTTTTAGTTGAAAAATTTGAATGTATCAGCAGTGCTGTCCTGCCCAGGTGCAGCGCAGCCAGGAACCGCGATGCCAGTTCAATGTGGGGCTGTGCCCTGGGGAGAGGCTGACCCAAAAAAGCAGCTAGTAGAGAGATTCCCCACCCGGCTGCTGCCCGTGCTCCGGTGCCAGCAGCTCAGCCCCGAGCGCGGCCGCAGAGGGCCAGACACGGGCCGGGCTGGGCTCAGCTGTGAAACAAACGGGATTTTTGCCACGTGCCTCTTTCCTTTCCTCAGGAGACAGATACTGGGTGTTCAAAGACAACAACGTGGAGGAAGGATATCCCCGGCCCATCTCGGACTTCGGGCTGCCCCTGGGAGGAATCGACGCTGCTTTCTCCTGGGCCCACAATGACAAGACTTATTTCTTTAAGGACAATCTCTACTGGCGCTACGATGACCACGAGCGGCGGATGGATCCCGGGTATCCTTCAGAGACCGCTTTGTGGAAGGGAATTCCCACCCCTCTGGATGATGCCATGAGATGGTCAGATGGTGAGTCCTTATGCTGATTTTTGAGATTTTTTTAAGAAATTATAAAACAGCACCATTTCCACTTAGAACATAGATCCTTCTGGTCCTTCCTGCATTTATAAACTGCTAAATCCCAGGTGTGCAGACACCTTTAGTTGTCTTACATAGAGTTGAAAAAGAGAGCTAAACTTTGAGTCAAAGCTCCCTGTGCTGCACTCTGCTCTCTAAGAGACACTGTAAGTTCAAGTAGACAACAAAAGTATCTTGGGGCCCTAATAATTGGGTTTTATTAAAAGAACACAGTTCATCTTTTTTTTTCTTCCATTTTTTTTTATCCTGATGTATGCTCTTTTGATCTTCACTGTATTTGTTGTAGTTAGATTTTCTACTAGAGAAATCAGAATGTGGACAAAAATATTTTTAAAGGAAATGTTTTTCCTAGAATTAGGACTGCTGGGACTTTTTTTTTTTTTTTTCCCTCCAGTGGTTAGATTTCTTAGTGGTTTCTGCTCCCTGAAAGACCATGGAAGTTTTACTATAGGAGATGTTTAAAGCCAGAGAGATCCCAGAGAGGAGGTTATCATCATCTTCTAGAGCATCCTACCACCACCACCGTGCTAACAGACGCAAGAAGCGGTGGTCCTGCGCACACCTCTGCTCCCTGTGTTCTGGCTGGGGGTGCACGCGCTCCTGCACTGCTGCAGACTCTGCCGTGTGCTTTGCTCTGGAAGGGCTGGTGTGCAGCGACATGTGCCTTGGCCTTTCGTTTCTTTTCCAGGTGCGAGCTACTTCTTCAGGGGCAAGGAATACTGGAAGGTGCTGGACAGCGGGGCCGAGGCCGAGGCCGGCTACCCGCAGTCCATCGCGCGGGACTGGCTGGTGTGCAGCGACATGCAGGCGGACGCCCCGGAAGCCGCGGGGAGCAGCAGGACCGGGGCGCGCTCCGAACCGGGGCATCCCGACGAGAGCCGCTCCGAAAACGGCTACGAGGTCTGTTCCTGCACCTCGTCCTCCGCCTCCCTCCGGGCTCGCCCCGTGCTCAGACTCTCTGCCGGCCTCGTGCTGACGAGCGTGTGGACAGCAGCACTGGTGTGTGCGGCCCTATGACGTCCCCTCACGCGGGCAGGACGACGTCGCGGTGCTTCGGGGACCACAGGTGGATAAAGTCCCACGATGCTGCACTGTTGCAAGCAGACAGAAACATTCCTAGGAACATACCAGAAAAGGTTTTGAATTCTCCATGAGAAGTGAACAGTGATTGTTTCTTTTCTTTTTAATTTTAGTTTAAAGGTCTAATAACAGATTTTGAGTTCTGCACCTTTTTATTCCCCCATCCAGTTAAAGATGAGAGCAGCCTATAATGTCGAATTTAGAAATGTTCCATGCAGATGTGTTGCTTTGAATGTTTTAAAACTGCAAACAGAGGAGGGGAAAGCTACTGAGAACAGAGCAGCTCCCAGTGAGACGGGGGACGAAAGGCAGCAGGGCTAGGGCAGAGGTGCAAGAGCTGCGCTGACATCCGATGACACGGTGTACGCATCCTATTGGATGTACTAGGTAGAAGGAAACTTGGGCTTCACTAAGATGAACTGCCAGGTGATCATTTTACTATCAAATCTGCTGTGGTAACTGATGTCGAGATAACCTGTATCAGTTCCTATGGGTCAGAAACACCTTTGCCTTTCAGAAGGCGGTGCAGCTTATCTTTGTATCCAGGTCATTTGAATTTAAGAGTTTATCAAATAAACCTTGGCTGCCTACACACAGATGTCACAGTCATCTGCCCCGCCACGTTCGCCGCCTTCTGCAGGTGCTGACAGCCCGGGCCCAGGAGCCGCCGGCCCTCTCCGCAACCGGCAAACCCGCTGGGTGCAGCCATGCAAATGAGATGCAAATACAGCCGGTCTCATCCGTGCACGTGAACTTCTCAGCTCTTGGCGTTTCCGTTTCAGGTTGTCTTATGTTTTAGATCAAGATGAATGTCATCCATTCATGACTCTGTTGTGCCTGACTGCACTGTGGAGGATGGGATGGAGTAAGTGAGGGATGCTGCATAGTTAGCCTGAAACTCTTCTTGAAACACAGCCACAATGTAGAGTGACAGAACACCTCTATAGGAACACTCCTGGCCATCTTCTCACTGCTAATCCATTTCCTGAAATATAATTTGGGTGTCTGACAGTCTTTGAGAGGAGCGAGATCCGGTGGAAGGGTCCATGATAGAGCTGTTCCAAAGGCCAAACCAGGGTCATGGGATGTCAAAGAGGAGAAATGGGCAGCAGCTCTGGGACACACTGGTCCTCTCTGCCCGGCTAACTTAATCTCCCCCATGGCTCTTTGCTGCCTCTCTGTGCCAGAGCCTGGGGGAGACCGGGCACTGATGGCACGCTGAATGTCATGTTGTGTTGGGACCCAGGGCTTCTCTGCTCTCCCAGAACAGAGGGAGATCTGGCCTGTCCAGCTGCAGGGAGGACATGTGGTTACCTGCCAGAGCAGTGCCAAGGGCAGCCCTGCAGCCCGTGCTATCGAGGCTGCCCAAACTCAGCAGCTTAAAGCTGGCTGGGGATGACTCCTGGTGCTGCCATCCCACCCGATTCGAGGGCTGAGACGCAGGGAGCCAGGGGATGTGATGGGTGACAAGGTTGCTCTTGGGCACAGATGGCCACAGCTCAAAGGCTGTTGCAATCATCACACTGCTGGTGGCTGGAGAAGGTTGGGCTTGGACGCGAGCAGGTTGCTGAGCCCGGTGAGCACCTCCCGGGGCTCTGAGCTCCTTGAGGCCACCTGGAGCATGTGGGAAAACCCTTGGTCCCTTCCACCCCTGCTGGCAGGTGGACGGGAAGGACTTGGGCATGACTCTTAGGGTAAAGCCAAGGTACAAATCACCACCCAGAGCTGGTGTACGTAGGCTTAGTGCTCGGAGAGCCTACTTGAGCTTTGGTGGTTTTTTTCCTAAAGTATGGCCAACATTGCTTCCTCTTGGGCTGGGGGACAGGGGTTGCACTGCTGCAACGCTGCCTGTGCAGCACGAGCAACCACCACCCCTGCTCTCAGCACCCCGATACGCAGGGTGGGGTATTTACCTTCATCTTGCACGGGGACACGGAGGCTGAGCGCCCCAGATGGCACAACAGGTCTGTGCTGGTCCCCGGGCAGGTGGCGACGCGGGGACCCTGTCCCACGGCGGGAGCAGCCGCGCACGGGCAGCGCTGGAATTCCCGGCGCCGCCACGCGAGGACAGCAGAGACGGCGGCTCCGCTGCGGCCTCCCGCTGCCTGCGCGTGAGCGCGGCCTCCGCGCCCCCGAACACCGCGGATGCTCCACGGCTGCGCTCCCCGGCACCGACCCGGACACGAATTCCTCTGGACCTACCCAGCATTGCTCTATGGGCTTTTCTCCACAATGCCGTTCTTAGTATTAGCTGGAAACTCCACCTCAAAAAAAGCCTTGAGCATCATATTCGTATTGCATGTAGTGCCTTTACTCTGCAGACTGAGTCTGGCTGTTTTCCAAGGATTTCAATCCTCGCAGGACTTGGTGAGGTTATTTCAAACACTTATCCTCTGGAACACGACAGATGGGATTTTAAAGTGAGGGGGCTTTGGCCAACTGAATCCACACATATTTAAAGCTGAAAAACCTCAGCTTATGGTAGCCATGTTTGTGGCTGGGGCCAATTCCCGTACCTTGGTCGGGGTTTTCCTGGCTTTCCCAAGCCACCTGTCCCCAGGCTCAGACAGCCCATGAGGCCCTTTCTGTTGTATTGCTCAAAAGAAAAACAGAAGGAAAAACCAGAAGGGAACATTCAGCCCATAATCCAAAGGGCTTTCCTAAAAGGCAGGCTCCTGCTTTATTAGGAATGAGATTCTTCACCTTTTCCCAACCCCTGGTTTAGTAAGAAAAGGTGGGTGCACAGCTGGGCTGCAGCAGCGAGGGGCAGGGGTTGGCCCCGTTGCTCAGGTGCAGCTCGTCTGCAAGGTTTGAACTCGGGCTCCCGGGTGGAGCGACCCTTCCTGTGCGGAGCGTGGTTGGAAGCAGGCAAGTCCTTGAGTGTTCCCAGTCCTGCTGCCTTGTTTTTTCCATTCCTGTGGCCAGGTATGGGATCTGGAGCCAGGTGCTAAGGCAGCGCTGCCCTGGGCAGCAGTCACCTCGGGGATGTCTTGCCTAAGGAAAGGCGGCTGATCCTGGCTCCCTGTGATCCAACAGCTCCCGGTAAGCTCTGTGCTGGGGGGTACTTGCTTTTCCCTGATGTTTCTGGGTCGGACAGCCAGAAGCAAGGAGCAGGTGGTGGAGGATGTGTCCATTGGAGATATCTGGGCTAAGAAGAGGAGTGAGTGTTAAAGCTGGATGGTACCATGGGGGATTCCTGCAGGGATGTGCTCAGGCTGCAACCTGGGAAGCACAGAGCTGTGCCTGCCTCCTCCGCGGTGGGAGCGATTACTGGCTTCGTGATACTAACAAAATTACTGCAAGAGCTGCAGGAGCAGTTCCCTGCTCTCCATCTAAACTTTGGGTCTTGGTTAAAAAAATAAAAAAGAGGAAAAAAAAAAAACCCAAACTTCTCACTAGAACTGCCAGCACTAGGTTGCCAGCTCTGTAGTTTCATCCGAGCGGTCTGGGCTTTGTGCTGCTTTCAGCACGCATGGCTTGGCAGGGGGAGCAGCTGGCCTGCAGCATTAACCGGGACACCTCTTTACTGTGGCAAAGACAAAACTTCACAAGGTTTTTGCAAGGAATTGCTTGAAAATCTATGGGTTGTGCTGCTTGGACTGTAGTGCCTTGTCTTTGGACTTCATGTGAGGAACTGCATGTCCTGGGGAGAGGCCTTTCTGCTCATATCCAACCAGACAAAGTGCTCTGCAGCTGGAAATCTTGTGAGCAAATAGGACTCTTGTGCTTGGGATCAAAGCTGGAGTGAGTTCTTGTCCTCCCTAAAATCTCTTCTTGTTCTGAGGGACAACTGGTGACTGCAGAAGCCTCTCTGGATGCAGAGCCCCTCCACTGAGATTTAAAGAAAATGCTTTTCTTTTTTTCCCACATCTGCTGTATTATGGGAATAACCAAGCCGAAAAGATGGTCCCTGGCATGTGCCTTCCCTGGGATCTTGATGGTTACATGGCCATTTGGTGATATCTCCATCTTCTGAAGGACAAAGCCAGTCTGAAGAAACCAATGCCTATTCTGTATCTGTGGTGAATTTTATCTGGAGAAAAAAAAAGAAAATTATGGTGCTGAGTGATCTTCATGTGGAGACTTGCCAACTATCTGTCTTCAAGCACCAAACCCACTTCACATCCGGCAGTTCCTCTGCTCCTGGTACCTCTCCCTCCTCGTCCAAGCTGACTTAGCCGGCAGCTGTCGGCAGCCCCAGAGCACGTGGGTGTCAGCAAGGAGAGCGCTGTGGGACGGGTTTGCTTGTTTTGGAGTTGCCAGGTAATGGAGCAACCCTGGCCAATGAGCACCTGCTGTGACGAAACCATGGCTGCACCTTGACACCCTGCCTTGGAACGGAGCGCCTGAGGAGGGGCTTCCACGGAAGCAGAGGCAACTCTTTGCCCCAATTATTTGCTTTGCTGTGCTAGAACTTATCTGCAATGTCATCGCTGTGTTCAATCCCAGGCTCCGACTACTGAATGGCTTGGTGTTTTACAGCAATTACATACTTCAACCTTTTCTCTTTTTCTGTTGTGTTCATCTGCCCTTTCTCCTCCTTTGCTGCCACGAAGCTCTACTCCTCATCACAGATGCACAGGTCAGACTGGAGTCAATCTTTTCTTTGGAAAGAAATCCTGTAAGCTCTGGTGGTTGGAGAGTGATTTGTACCTCTGCTCTTCCTCTCGGCTCACAGTGATCACTAGCTGTGTAGAATCATCGGGTCATTATGATTGGAAAGACCTTCAAGACCATCGAGTTCAACCGTAAACCCTTCAACAACATGCCTGTTAAACCACGTCCCCAAGTGCTTCATCTACATGTTTCTTGAACATTGCCAGAGACAGAGACTCCAGCCCCTTCACCAGCTTCGTTGCCCTTCTTTGGACACACTCCAGCACCTCAATGCCTTTCTGGTAGTGAGGGGCCCATATCTGAACATGGTCTTCGAGGTGCAGCCTCATCAGGGCTGAGCATGGGGGAACAATCCCTTCCCTGGTCCTGCTGGCTGCACTGTTTCCTCAAGCAGATCAACTCTTCCTCCCGGCTTGGTGTCATCTACAAATTTGCTGAGAATGCACTCGATCCCCTCATCCAGGCTGTTGATAAAGATCTTGGAGAGGACCCGCCCCAACGCTGACCCCTGGGGAACACCGCTCGTGACTGGTCGCCGGCTGGATTTAACTCCATTCACCACCACCCTATGGGCCTGGCCATACAGGCAGTTTTTCAACCAGCAAAGAGTACGTCTGTCTAGGCCATGAGCTGCCAGCTTCTCCAGAAGGCAGTGGGAGACTGTGTCAAAGGCCTTACTGAAGTCTAAGTAAAGCATGTCCACAGCCTTCCCTCATCCACTAGGCAGGTCACCTAGTTGTAGAAGATCAGGTTGTTGAGGCAGGACCTGCCTTTGATGAACCCATGTTGGCTGGGCCTGATCCCCTGGTTATCACACACGTTGTGTGATCACCCTCAAGATGATCTACTCCATAACTTTCCCCTATATGGAGGTTAGGCTGACAGGTCTGTAGTTTCCCCTCATTTGGGACCTCTCTGTTTGACCAGGACTTCTGATAGATGATGGAGAGTGGCTTTTTTTGGCTTAGTTTACAAAAAAACAAACTACAGAATGCTTGGGCTTCACATTTGGCTGCCAGATAACAGCACTGAAGTGTAACCTATGCCTTTGTTAGACTTTTTAAACTGTTAAAGGAATGAAAGCAACAACAGAAACTGTATGGCTTCTGGAGATATACAATACAGAATATAATTTGGTTCTGATTTCCATCTACAGATTTTGCATGTTCAGACATCACCCCAAACTGGAAGCAAAAATAGCAATGGCTCTGCCTTGGCATGTTCTTTCCAAAAAAATACCTGCTGTTAGGTTGGGCACTCAGCTCTGTCATCCATGAGGTGATAGGAAAGGCCTGTTTCCAAAGCACGGCCTATGGTAGGCACCAGGGGCACGTGCTGGGCCTTACTGTGCTGGGCTGCTGTTCCAGCCAGGTACCATAGTGCAGAGTACCAGGTAGAACAAGCAGCTGTGGTAGAGTCTCAAATCACAGTATATAAATCCATGTCCTAAAGTTACTGATTAGAGTGGGGTATTGGGATTAGGGGCTGAGAGCGAGGACTAGGGCAATGGATTGGGGATGAGAGGGATTGCAGGAAGCTGTAGCAGGAAAATCATTATCTTGCGGGTACTAGGTTTTGTTCACATAAGGACTGCTCTCCCAGCAGGACAGCAGGAGGCCAAGCCTGCATAGGGGCTCTCTCTTAAAGCATGCTCATGGTATAGGTAGCAAACCCTGTGCCTTGGGCCCAGGGTGACTTGGAAGGAGAAACTCGATGTAGATCCTGTCCTAGACTCATAAGAAACACCAATGCCTCATGTAGGCTGCTGAGACTTGAATGAGGGGGCTGGCAGCAGCTTGCCAGGAACGTGTTTCCTTCATCTCAGTTGGCTCTGGAAGGCTTTCATGGAGATGTACGTGCAGGATAAACAAGTGAGATCAGCAAGCCCCTAAGCAAAAGCTGTGCTCGGGCGAGTAGCGTTTTGCAAGGCCCACGCTAATCCGCACAGCACACGCCAAACACTTCCCCGTGTTTATAGGAGTGAAGTCACGTCCCCGTTGGCCTCTGCCGCCGTCGTGGGTGCTGATGGCAGCTGGGCTGCACATCTCGAAGCCCTTCTCCCGACACACTTGCCAGGGGAGCAGCGCGCTGCTGCCCTAGGATGTCTGCCCCTAAATAGCTTTGCTCTGGCAGCACGAGGCCGTGCAGCCTCAGTGTTATTCTTACCCTTCGGGTCACGCAAGGTAGCAGTGACATCATGGAAGAACTTTGCTCTATGCATGCAGCGCAGTTTATCTCGACTCTCGGGCGGTGAGCGCGTCCAAACCTCTGTTGTTGTGGAGGGGAACAGTCCCAGCACCTTTGCTCCGCTGTCGCTCGCTGACATGAGTCAATTCTCACTAGCAAAGCATAGTTGCATTTTCCATATATTGCCAAAGGCGCTCTGGTTATAGTGCTGGGAGTCAGAGCAGGTTTTGTGGCCTCCTGTGGTCCGATGAGCGCCGGGCTCTGTTGGTGCCTTGTTCTACTCATCCCTTTGGTAAAGGCAGAACGAAATAATCCTAGTTGTGTTGGCTGGTGGGGTTACAGGTCCCAGGCAAAGCCATTCAAAGATAACTTGTCTCTTTCCATGAGCATGTGGAGAGTGACACTGATAAGAGGCTGACTTTGCAAGTGCTTGCCAAAAAATGTTGATCCTTTAGTGGTTCTTGTCTTATTCGGTTCTAACAGGAGGCTGTCAAAGAAACATAGGCTTGGCAAACATCCGAAGGGGCCATTTTACAGCCTCCTGTGTCCTTCTCTGCCACATTCCCAAAGCATAAGGGATGCTCCTGGGAGTGCACCAGCTCTTCAATCTCATCCCAAGACTTGTGAGCGTGTTAGGATTTAGTATTTGAATTCACGTCTGCTCCCTACTTGCTTTTCTACGTCACTAAGGGCGAAACAAATACTGGAAAACAAATTCCACCAGAAGGCCAAGCTGGTTGTCTGCAACGTGCCCGTGTTTACACAGGCGCTATCTCCACGGTGTTTGGACTCCGCAGGTGTGTGCGTTGGGCTGCCGGGGGTGTAGCTGCACCGCAGAGCGAAAGCGCAACTATCGCTCCTTGTCGGGCACCGCGGCTGTGGCCTCGCTTGAACCCACCGAGGAGACGAGTGCCGAGGACGTGGGGCTCCGGCAGAGGCTCGGGAATGACCGAGCGCGGCTCGGCAGCAGCCGTCCTGCCGGCAGCCTCTCCGCGGCCGGTGGCGGTTGCTGCTCCCGGCTCTGCTGCAGCAGGGCACCCGTTTGTGCAACCGTTGCGGCTGTTTGAACCCCCTTTTCTGCACAGAGTGCCCGAGCTGATGTCCTGCCCTTTGAGGACTGGGCACCTCATCCCAGGCAACTGAGCTCCTCCTGTCTGGGCTTCTTCACTGAGCATTCTTCTATTTGCTGTTGGATTCTGTTGCCTTCGTTTCTTTCGCTGCTTGCAAGGATGAGTGCCAATGAGGAGTTTTTTCCCTTCCCCTCTTCTTTTTTTTTTTTTCTCTTTTATGCCCTAAAAACCTAAACTCAGCGGTGGACACAGTCCTGTGCCATGTGCTCTAGGTGACCCTGCATGTGCAGAGGGGTTGGGCTAGATGACCTCTAAGGGTCCCTTCCAACCTTAAGGATTCTATGATTCTATGAAAGGAAAGGTAAGGAAAAATGATGAATTAGGGTGTGGTGGACAGTTGGAAAAGTATTAAAAACTGACTCCAGTCTTGCCCTTCAGGTCCACTGCGAGCTCTGTAATTAGACTTGTAGTCTAAACTGGAGAACAGCAGCCCATTCTGCTTTCCTGGCTGCGTCCCGCAGCACCAGCCAGTGCAGCAGCCGCCCGGGGCACAACAGCGTCCCTTGTGCTCCTGCCCCAGCTCGTGTGCCAGCCGCTAACCCCAGCACAGGGCACTGCACTCGGGGGGTTTCTTCTGCATCCTTCTCCGGTGCTCCTGGGCTTCCCTCCATGGGACGGTGCCAGTCGAGCAGACCGATGGGCCGGCACGACAGGTTTGTTTTTCCACAAACTGCTCAAATTGTGCTGGCGCTATCAGTGAAAGCAAGTTTCCGTATGGCCTCTTGGTTTGCAGGTGATAAAGGCCTTATCTGCGTGTGTTTTGGGGACGGGGGAACGTCTTGCATGGATTTGCACAGAGCCAAATGCAAGGTGACCGTGCTGTAATGACTTATCACGACAAACTAGCGCTACACATAACTGCAGTGCGATGTATTGGGTCCTGAGGAGCATCCCAAATGCTGGGGGAGGCAAGACGTGAGCGCAGGTACCCCTGTCTCTGCACCCCGCTGCCGGTGGGGACCAACCAGCTGCCCCAAGGCCGCGGGGCTGCCGTGTTCTCCTTGCCCTTGTTCTGAAAGAAAGCTGGGAGAACTGAAGTGTCAATGGGAAAACACAATTATTTTGAAGACTGTTGCTTGTCTTGCTCTTGCCCCTTCGAAGGGGATGTGACTTGCCAGCCTCACCTGCCAGCTGCAGCAGCTGGAAGTCAGCCCGGGTTGGGACTACCTGGATTTTCTGCTCGGATCCGGGACTTTTGGTAGCTGGTTCAGTTCTGCCCACGTGCTGCCAGCACAGGATCTGCTCACTGGCCTTTCTGCCCTGTGCTGCTCTTCAAACAACCATCCTTGATCTATACCCTCATCAGACTCCAGGAAGCAACCAGCCCTGGTGTGATAAAACTTGCCAGACTGGTGCTCCAGCCCCGTGCACGTAGGCAAAGCACCGGGAATAACGTCTGGCTCCGCTCTGCACCGTGCTCGGCTCGTGCCAGGCCCTGTCTCTATTGCTTCTCCAAGCAAAAACAAGCGCCATCTGCTCACGTGTCTGCTGCCTACGAGAGCCTGCCAGGGACAAAGAGAAGTTCAAATATTTGTGTTCACTTGTTACTCTTTCCATTCAGACGGTAAGTGACAAGCTTAAGCAAAACCTACCCGTGCCAACTGCAGGATTTCCAGCACACCGGCCCTGACTTTGCAACCTCACTGAGACGAAACACCTGCAATTAGCAACTGGGTTTAAATCTGGGGGAATGACTGATGAGCATTTCTGAGTTAAGGCCTTAAGGAAAAAAAAAAAAAAAAAA